AATCAATATTTAAAATTTTATTAAAAATTTTAAAATATGCAGGCAAATTTGCCTGTGTTACAATCTAAGGGATATTTCGGGCTTGTGGATGTACTGATATTATACCATATTCAAAGCAAGAATCTGATATTGGATTTTGGACATGTGCAATTAACCCTATGGCAAATTCACAAACTATAAAAAATCCATATCAATAGGAATTACTTGAAGTACGGAATTGTATAATTCAAGATTTTACAGATACTAATTCAGATCATAAATTCTAGAATAGTTTTTGTCAAACACTAGATATCAACAAAAGAGGTGTAGAGAAAAAAATTCAGATACTTTCTATTATTGCATTGAACTTTGGCTATCAAGTTCTCAAAGATAAATTAGAAGTAAGGCACCAAATGTTTGTATTATTTTAATTACTTATTAATATAATATAATCTTTTCTTAGATAACCTCGATAACTATAAATAGAGCTAGAAAATATGCACATCTCTGTGGTGCCAGTACTTTACTAATAGAAAGACCAAAAAAACAATTTAGCTTATAGCTGAATTTAAAGAGAAGCAGTTTGAAATATTTTTTTTAGATAAAAGCAATGTTACTATGAGTTTTTACAAAATAGACCCAAAAACGAATTTATCTGTTCTTTACTTGTGTGATATCAAAACTGCATTTTGGAAAAAATTCCAACAAATATTTCCAAATAGAATGAAGAAAACATCTTTTATGGGTCAAATTGCTGACTGCACTCATTTAAAATATTGAGATGATTTAGGTGGCCTTTGTAGAATATACAATGATTATAGCTTTAGATCATTTGAAAATTTAGTCAGGATTGTGCGCAATATATTTATTAACAAAACAGGATTGGTATAAGAATACCTTTTTATTATATGATTACAAATTTTCTTTTTCTTTATTTTTTCATTTTTATTTTTTATTTTTTTTATTTTTTAATTTTTTTTAATTTTTTTTATCTCATATTTTATTTTTTTTTTTTAATGTAAGGACAGAATGCTTTTGCAAATTGAGCAGTTGCGTTGTTATTTCAAAAGGGGGTTTGAACGAGAATTAGTTGTACTATTAGATGAATCAATAGCACATGATCCTTGTATTGGTCACTGTCTTCCATATGTCTTTAGAGAGTATTCAGCCTTGCATATTTCAAGATGCGCTAATTGCAACCAGTTTTATCAGTTTTTGATTTATTAGAAAATTATGTTAATGCAGATCAAAAAATGCTCTTAAATGAAATTCAAGAATGATTAAAACATTATCTAGGTCATCAGGCTCGAAAAGTCTACCTTAATGCATAGTTTAGTACAATATTAGCACAATTAGATTTTGAAGATGCTTTGATTGCTACAGACTACAAAATATGCATTCTTCCAAAATCAGCTTGTGAAACAAAAAGTGATTTTTTTGGTAAAAGGGGTTGGGTGTTATACACTATCCTAGTTTTTAGTAAAATTGAAAATCTCAATAAATTAGACATTCAGACGTTCGACCATTGGTCTACAGATACAAAGCAAGATGCCTGATTTACTACTTCCTTATTTGAAGCAGTATTTGAATCAATAGAACAAAAGCCAAAGTGGATAACAATAATTTCTGATAATGGTGCACACTATTATAATTTAGAGTTGATGACTCTTATTGCTTATTGGCATGATTGGTACTCCATTGAAGTCAAACGATAGTTATTTTTGGAACCCGGAGAAGCCAAAACAACTATTGACTCTCATCACACAAATGTGAAATCAAGTTTATTTTTATTATTCTATTTTATTATTTATTTTATTTTATTTTTTTATTTTATTTTTTTTTATATTATTTGTTTTTATTTTTTTATTTTATTTGTTTTTATTTTTTTTATTTTATTTATTTTTTTAAGCAATAATATTAGATATACTAATGTTTTAATACTATTTTCATATGATTAGATTGGCCACAGTATTAAATGATATGTTCGAATCAGCTTTAATATAGTTGAAGTTGAAGATATAGTAAAAGCAACAAGGGGTTTGGCTAGAACATCATTAGCACAAATTATGATAAACTGTAGCAACGAAGATAGTGAATCAGAAATAGAAGATGTTGAACAAAATAATAAAAAACGGTTCAAAAATCAAAAAAAAGCAAGGGTTAAAACTAGTAATTGAACTCGAGTTGGATTAATCTGGGTATACCCAGGTGGGTTGGGTATCCGGGTTGTGATTGTGTCTATCTGAGTAGACTTGGACAGATAGACCCGCAGGTTTACCCGAGTAGGCTTGGACAGATTAATCTGCAGGTTTATCTGTGAACTAACCTGTAAACCAACCTGCTATAACCTACCTAGTATTGCCACCAAAATCATGTATATAATTGGTTCTTAAATTCAATCTGAGTTTAACTTAAGAATAACAGAATTACGAGATTTACAGAATACGAAAAATAATCAAATTTTCAAATTATTTATTCAAATTATTTATTCGAATTATTTATTTAAATTATTTATTTGAATTATTTATTTGAATTATTTATTCAAATTATTTATTCAAATAATTTATTCAAATTGTTCATTCAAGATAAATTCATGACTGATATTCAAATTTAAATATTTAACTTTTTTTTAATACATATATAAAGCTTTAAGCCTAAATCTATGCTACCAGTAAAAGGTGCTCTTATTACGTCCACTTCAAGTTTTTGGAAGCTTTTTGCTCACTCGACATATTAAATATTATCTACCATTTTTTTTCAATGAATGTTTAATTCAATACTTCGAAGTTATTTATCTTGTTTTGAAAGATTATTAGACTTTTCAAGAACAATTGAGTACCTAAAATATAATATTAGTAAACACAATATATACCAGTGAGAATTACAAAAATTTCTGGAGATACAAACAATATCCAAAGATTCCTATAATGTTCAATTCATAATCTT